CTGCTCGGTGCCCGAGGGCCACTTCCCGGGCCACCTGGTGGACATCGGCGGCACCGGGACCCTGTCCCACAGCTACCAGTATGAGGTGTGTCTGATGGGAGGCTCAGGTACCAACGAGTTCAAGTTCCTCAAACCGATTCTCCCCAATGGTCTGGTTCAAGATACAGAGCAAAACTAGTAGAAAACTCCAATTGCAAGAGTAGCTTAGGTTTCATTAACAGAAGAATAAAAAAGCAGCTGTTTGCCTATGAGTATTTTCTTTTAGAATCACGAATCTTTAATTGATATAACATTTTGTTTATATATTGATTTTACTTTATATCTAGTTAGATAATCTTTGCATATTCTCCTATTTTCATCTACTTCGTATCTTACCAGTGCAGTCTTAATGCCAATTTTTTTTATAGGTGAGTAATATCTTCTAATGGTGATTTCAAATAGGTTTACTTTAAGGAACTCATTTTGAATTCTATATCCAAAGCAATGTAGAGAGAATGCCAAACCACCAATCTTATAATTTATCTTGTCGAATATAGTTTGATAATGTTCTTTAGAATACTCCTAAAGCAGCTTTGTCTGTGTTTAATGAAGTTTGTGGCTAGGTAAGAATGTGTTTGCTTTAAGATGTACCATCTTTAAGGTGCACCATATTTTTAGGGGCATATTACCAAAATGAAAGTAATGCATTTAATTCATTTTCTGTTTTGACATTTGCAATTAATATTTCAATATTGTATATTGCTCAAAAGTGGACAAAAATATAGGCTAAATTGGCAAAATTCTCTTAGATTTGCTTAAAGTGTATTCATGACTGAGAAAAAAATTAAACATAAGGCATTTTGAACAACTGATTGTGCTTTTTCATTTGGTATGAACTATTGTGTAGTAAGGCATCTGGTGGGATGACAATACGGTTGGTAAATTCTGAGATGTAAATGTTATCAACCTGAGGGCTTTTTAAAATTTCAATAGTGTAATTAAAAGAAAATATACAAGAATAGGACGTTCTAAAGAGGAGAGCACAAAATCACTGTGAAAGTCCAAATGAGCTACAACTAG